GGATATTTTTTATAAATTTGGTTATTACCGGTATCGGTATAATACTGCTTTTAGGAGTAAAATTTTTATATATTTTTTTAAAACGTGCTTACATTTTTACATTAAGAGGCAGAAGTACAAGCATAATAATTTAAAAAGAAAATATATTGTAATTGTTTAAGTACTTGGTTAAGACAGCTCATAGAAAAAAAATGGATCAATGAATAAAAATTATTATCATTGTTATTTTTTTATTTTTTATTTTTTGGTGGGGGGGGTTTAACGCCCTCCCCTCCCCTTGAATCCGCTAGTGATGATAGAATAGGATAGGGTAGGATCAATATTATAATCAGTAATATACCGAGCTCGTTATACGGATCGTTAAGATGAGTTCCCCTTTCACTGCAAGAGAAAGCCATAATGTTTCTTTACAGACCGTATTGTCCCTGATGCATTGTCTCAGGGGACCAGTTTCAATCGAACCAATTCAGCATTTAACCTCCGGCACGGCCAGAAAGTTCATTAAAAAAAAAAAAAAAAAAAAAAAAAACCTACCTATGAAGGGCTTGCTTGGGTTTAGTACCTTGTAAGGAAGTACTGTACCAAGGACAACAGTTGTGCGTGGAGGTTTTGGGCCGAGATCAAGCTCAGATCATGATTATCTTCTATAATTGATTATTTACTTTTTGATTATTATTTATTGTTATTTTTCTTCTAGTGTGAATGTTATCCTAAATCACTATAAGTAATGTCCAAGTGACAGATTGTTGTAATACTCAATAAGTAAATAAAAAATATTTAATTAAGACCAAGTTCATATATTTCAAGTTTCTAAAGATACCGTAAGACGGGGTAACTTTGGGACAGCGAGTAAAATTTAGTTTGTGGTGATCCCGTGGCGTATACACTGTGTTGGTTCAGTCAGCAAAAACGTGGTTTGTGTAGGCATGTATTGCGCTACTACCTTGCGGCAGTTTGAGAAACCTAGTTCACTACATACGTTGTGCAGTTAGGTATTATTTATTCCCATTGCTTTTTTTTCTTCAAAATTCTTGTTTTCATGAAACTTTCGCATGTGCCTCAAGATTAGTGTGCCGCAAGGTAGAAGTGCACAACATACCTAAATAAAGCACGTTTGCAGACTAAACGAACACAGTGTATCCACCACGGAATCACCACAAACCTGCTATCCCAAAGTTAGCCACCCAGTCCCTAAGTTATCCCATCTTACGGTACTATAAGAATTAATAACCATTTTAATTTGTAAGAAATTCATCTGGTGAATTCTTCTATAAATTGTAGGTCAAAATAATATGGTTTTTCTTCATTGGCCCATATTCGTTTCTGAGAGTGAACTTAGCTAAATACCTTACCTATACTATCACAATATATTCTCTTTTTATATTATAACGCACGCCATAGAAATCTACAAAATGTATGCGAATATATATAAATGTATAAAAATATTATCCTTAAAAGCGCCAGTCATTTTATATAATTCTTTCAAAATAATTACCGTTATTTAAAAAAAAAAAAAAAAACCTTCCACAACCTCAAAAAAAATCCTGAATACGCTACTGCCACGGGTGGATCTACGGGGAGGGGGGAGGGCTTTCGGGCTGAAGTCCCCTACCCCAAAATGGTAAAATATAGCCATGCCAAGAGAAGAATGGTTGATCAGTAAAAAAAATAATAATAAAAATAAATATAATTATATAATTTTTGCCGACGTTTCGGTCCAAACTTCAGGCCTTCATCAGGGCTATCACAACACAGACGTATTGTCGTAAGAAAGAGTGGAGCTTGCATAGCGCCATCTGTAACGGTTAACTCAAGTGTATTTATACTCAAGCAGTTACAGATGGCGCTATGTATGCTCTACTCTTTCTTAAGACAATACGTCTGTCTTGTTATAGCTCTTCACTTGACCAGTCCTGATGAAGGCCTGACCTTTGGGCCGAAACGTCGGCAAAAATAAAAATAAATATAATTATTTATTTTTACTTTTTTTTTTTACTGATCACATTATTCTCTTCAATTATTCACTACTGTCAACCATCAATCCACAATGAATAAATTATAATCTTCGGTACTTTGGATGATAGTCTTGTAAGCCGTTATCCTTTTTGTGATATCTTATAAAATATTATCGATTAAGACTGATCAGTATGCTGGGTTATTTAGCACCTCTATCAGTAATTTTATTGTACTTCTGTCTAGTGGAACGTGATAGAAAAAGAGAGGGAGGGAATAATTCATATTTTTTAAAAGAGAACTTAAATAAGATAAGACGCTCAAAAATCCTCTTTTTTAAATTTAATTTTAAGTAAATTTTGTCTAGTCTTGCTTTGAAGCAGTTCTTAATTAATATATTACATATATATTTAAGGTTATCGCTTCCTATTCATCAAAAAACGTGACACATAAAAAAAAAATTACAAAACATAATTGTGGGTTGATGGTTGACTGTCGTGAATAACGAAGAGAAGGATGGTTGGGGTGATCAGTCAGAAATAAAAAGGAAAAATAAATAATAATATTTATTCAGTTCAGGCCTTCATCAGGGCTAAGAAAAGAAGCAGATAACAAGGTACGAGAAACAAAAACAATGTAGGTAAAAAAATTAAAGTAAAATGAAGTGGGTAGAATAATGACAATAACAAGTTACATTTTAAAGTTTATTCTAAGATTAACATTTTAGTACTTATATCACCTTATTTTGATTATGTTTACTTCATTATTCCACACTTCGTAACGGTTATTATTATTTATTTCTTGTTATTGTCATTATTCTACCCACTTCATTTTACTTTAATTTTTTTACCTACATTGTTTATGTTTCTTATACCTTGTTATCTGGTTCTTTTTTTAGCCCTGATGAAGGCCTGAACTTCAGCTCGAAACGTCGGCAAATTTTAAAATAAATATTACAAATCTTAAGATACCTAATTTTTTTTGGTTAAAATCGGAATTTTTTTATAGCTCTTGAGATCTGCTATCAGCTCTTTGTATATTCCCCTTTACTTACGGGAATATAAAATAATTATAATAATTTTAATATTCACATTAAAATAAATGTTATCATCAATAACAACTACCATCTCCTACCTAAGCAAGCTTCAATCGTAATGAATTTGCCGAGTATCTGAAAACCGCCAATGAGGCATACCTAGGGACTCAGGAAAAAAGGTCATTGCTTTCAAAAGCCGAACCGCATTCCAGGTTTCCAATGGTTTTCAATTCAACTCGATCTGAAATTTCGTGTGATCGATGGTGAAAGTCGGCTTCGAGTCATCTAATCAACCAAGTCTAAAATAAGATACTAATACTAACTAAAACAACCCCCAAAAAATTATGTTTTAATTTATTGTTGAATTTATTTTATTTTATTACCTGATACACCTAACCTTTCTTCATTATATTTGATTTCTTCCCCACATCCTTTCCTATAGGTCACATTTAAGAAAACTGACGCAAACGCTAGTGTTTTTATTTCTGCTTGCACATTTTGGGAAAACGTTGTCACTCTCTTCAGCATCTATGCCACAGTAATGTGTGTGTCTATCAAGAGGAGGTTAAGGACGTGGGGTCACTGATTTGAATGAAACTTTTTTTGGTGATACCAGGTCGAAAAATATTAAACTGGTTCGACGGTTTTTAATATTTAAGGGTTAATCTTACCTATGCGTCTTATGAGCCTAGAAAAAACAAAAATTTAAATAAAATGTATGCTATAATTTTAACCGTTGCTTTGCCTGGGTTTTGAGGTTATTATATACCAATAGATTTCTTTTTTATTGTAGAATAAGAAAATTATATCGGTTATGCTATTAAATGAGTTATAAATTATCTTACATAACAAAAACTAAAAGGCGCTTGAAGTTAAAAAGACGATGTAAAGTTTTGTCTTCAAGGAATATATAAGCCCTTATATTTTCAATTTTTTTTATTCTTCTTCCGACGACATGTCGAGCTGATTAGCTCATTCTTAAGTCATCTACAGATAACAATTAAACAAAGATAATTTACAACTCTGGTCGCTCATGAACTAGTCATATAAAGAGTGAGAACTTACAAAAAAACATTTTTTTTATATACTATAATGTATTTCAATATATAATTTCATGAACATCCATTTGTAGTACATCAATTGTCACAGATAAATATATTCCTCCTCACTATCTTAAATTCGCTTTTAATGTTATTTAAAACTCATAAACAAGAATTTTTATTGATAACAAAAATTGCAAATTTTAGTACTTGATTTTCTGAAAGGAATGTTTTTTTCAGCTATTAACTAAAGCATTCATAACTTCACAAAATTCAAAGGAAAGCTGAATTACTTATTTCCAAACCACATCAACAAGTTTTAAATTTCAATCACTTTTTAAGCCAGAAATTCAGAAAAACTTCTCAAAAATTTCTATTTTATATTGTTTGTTCTGATCAGTTAACGGAGATCGCGTTTGTACAATTTTGTGTGGCACACACAGCTTTAAGACCCTAATAATTTTTGTGCGATTCGGTGAAGTAGTTTTAAAGTTGTCGACTAAATTTCGATGGTTTCAGACTATGAAAAATTTCTAATGTTTCGATTGCTAATGTATTAAGTGTTTTTTGGGGGTGCAATAAAAATAAATTGGCTACCTAAAACATTCTTTACAGTAGATACCGGATGGTTTTCGACAAAGGAAAAAACAAGAAACTTTCAAATAAAGGAACAAGGGAAAAGCATGGAACAACAAGAGTTTTGGTATATGATCTACGATTTTTGTAATTATACATTCGTTTGCATTGTTTTTAAGATGAGAATAGCAATAAAATATCTTTGAAGAGGGAATCCGCCATCAACCTTGGGAAGGGTGGACACCTTTGAATGGTCCGAACCCATGTTCTGGTTTCCAAAACGGTTGGTCACCGCGAACCCATTGAATGATGAACTCATGATGTCGGAGAGAGCTATAAGTTAAATATTCGAGATAGCTATAATGATTATTATTATTTTTTTAATAAAAATATACCTTCGATCCCGTCACTCAGACTGGATCTATTGGTGCACGATATTGGAGATAAGAGGAGGCTATGGTAAATGATGCATGACTGTAGCGGCCGATGGAGGACGAACCTGCCCGCGGAGGAAATGTGCATGGTCGCTCCCAGGATTTCCGGGGACATGGATCCCAAATGGGGCTTCGGCCTCCCTTCACAGCATCAGCCAATCACCTTTGCCGGAAAATCATTTTAGCCTTCCGTAATTGGGTTTTTGTAAAGAATCCAATAAAACAAAAGTTTGAATTAATGACGAAATTGCCTACCCTTGTAGAACAAGAACTTATAGTATACTCACAAATAAGCTTATCTTTAAAAATATAGGCCATAATTTCCGATCAATTTGAACTTTGAACCGGCATTTCGATGCACGTCCCAGGTTCAATCATCGAGAGGTGGAAGTCTCTCGCTTTACATTTTGAGCATTTTAAATAAATGTACACACGTAACTAAAAATATTTTTTAAAGAACAGATATTGCCGTTATTATAGAGAAAAAAAAAATGTTCTCTGAGAAATATATTTATATTTTTTTTATTGAATATTAATACAATCTGCCACACTCAAGTGCAATAAGCATAAGTGCTAAAAGTATCCACTCATATAATATATGTATATATATATATATATATATATATATATATATATATATATATATATATATATATATGTGTGTGTGTGTGTGTGTGTAAGTGTGTGTGTATGCGTGCGTGTGTGTGTATGTGTGTTTTGGTTTATGTTGCCGTAATTATTATAGTTATAAACTTCTCCGTTGGACATTCAGTTATGCAGATACAATCTGTATTTAAAAAAAACACCTTTCTGCACTAGTGATAGACACCCTGAGCATCAAATGTTCAAGTAATGGACATACCTCATAAAAAGTTTAATTTGTATTTAACTATAAAGATAACGATAAACATAAGACAACATAAATGTTCAACTTACTCTTAGCAAAACTGTTAGTAGGAAGGTATGAATACGAACTAACTGAATGAATGAAGCACTATAATAATATGTCTACATTAGGAAATCACGGGACCATCTTCTTTTCAGACGCCTCGGAGGGTTATCAGGAATCGAAGAGGAAGCAAGGATAGAAACAAGAAGGTTCGGATAGTTCTGAAGTTTATTATGGAAGGAAAGATATATGGACCGAGTCAAATCTGAAACATAAGGAAAATTAAGGTCGTTATGGATGATTTTTTTGTAACAAAGTAAGGAGCATTGAGGATTTTACGAAGGATTTGAGATTGTAAGGAATGGATACGAGAGGAATTCAATGAGTTAGTGGAGCTCAACTCAAGTCCAAATAGGCTTTATTACAGTCATGCATATGAGTCTCTTATAATTAATTGAAAGCTTAGAGGGTTTGTCTAGTAAGTGCTGAAGTAGTCGGAAACGTCGAGCGGTTTCTTGTCGTTTCAGTCTGGTATGAGGATTCCACGTGAGTCGTTTGTCCAGGTGGAGTCCTAGGTATCGGATTTTGGTGGGATTTTGATCATAAATGGCCTTAACATTGCTCGTTTCAATTCCATGTGGGCGACCAGACCGTTGAGCATCATTGATGTCAAAATTTCCTGAATGAAATTCAGCAAACTAACTTTGACAGGTGCGTTCGGTTAAGGCATCATCCCCAAAAATAGTGCAAATTTTTCTATGAGCTTCTGCAGGACGCTTACCTTTTTTAAAATAATACAACAAAATATGCCGATAATGAATGATATTTTCTTCCATATTCACAGTGCATATAGCAAACACAATACTAAGCCAGTTTTATCAAGAGTTAACAGATATAGTTGTTGACATATTACAAACGGGATAAACAATCCGCCTTAGGTATTAATTCATGAGATAAGAAGTGTATCATAGTGACATAAAAATAAACAGAAAACCGAAAGGACTTATTTGCCAAACCAATACTAGTAAATTGAGGTAAAAGTGTGTAATGATCAGGATTAGAAAAATAAATACGACGGCAAGTAGGTGAAAACCAAAATATTTATTACGCTAGCGACGTAACAGACCAACCGGAGAATGGTACGCCGCGGCTGCATGCAGTGGAGTAACGGATCAAAGAAGATAAGTTCATTGGCCGTGGGATGTAACTTCGTGATGGAATGGATTTTATACACAGGGGGGACAGCAATTGTCTGCTGTCTTGGATTTTGGACAGAGTATTCGATGTAGCATTTCGTCAACATAGCACTGGTTTTATACTGTTATTCGGCATTAATTTAAATAATTTATATCTGTCATTATTTAGTTTTAGATATGCATCGTATCTTATTAGGTATACATTTAAATCGTTCCGATGAACTATTGTCTTTAAATGATAATCCGTTTACTACTTTCAAATGTAAAAACTTTACAAAATGGTTTTTCTTTACTTACTTTTGCTCATTTGTCTTCTTTCCTGCTTTTGATTTTTTTTATTTATATATATTTTTACTTCACATTACAATTATAATTATTCTTAGGAAGTTGTTATTTTTATTTTATTTTTTTTTTATTATTTACAGATTATTTTATAAATTATTGTAAACACTTTTAGAATTTTTTTAAAGATAGTTTTTATTAAGTTAGCCTATTTTTTATGTTTATAATATAAAAAATCAATCCTTTTTTATTACATAACTTTTTTTCTTCAGATATTTTTATCTTTCTGTGTAATTTTATATATTTTTTTCTTTTCTCACATTACAACTACAAATATTATTGAAAATACTTTATTTCTATTCATTTACTGATTATTTCATTATATACTATTTTACATTATATGTATTTTTTTTTTTTTTAATTTTGTTCATTCTATTATTCTGAGAGGACTGTGTCCCAGAATAAAGTTTCTTTTTCTATTCTATTATAAACTTTATAAAAAAAAAGCGTTGAATAATTGTAAATTATTTGTTAAAACTACCAACACGCCAGATACTAAAACTTGAATCGGTAGAATATTCAAATTCTAGATCCTGATTTGAATCTCAAACTTAAACATATTGTTAGTGTTGATATTTTTTTCTAATTCTATAAATGTAACAGTTAACATACTACAACAGGCTGTGGTGCAACGAATTGAATTGAATTGAATATTCCGCCCATCATAACCTCCTTGAATTCATATCAAGAGATATCAGGGCTTGAAACAGAAAAAAACATTTATTTTTTAAAAGTTTCGGTATCACAGGAACTGTTACTATCGATAGTTTTTCAGTCCTTTTAGAACTATTACTTTTTCCTTTGCGACTTTTCTAGAACAGGTTTTACAGAACTTTTATTTTTAAAAACTTGTATTTAAAAGTTTTGCCGATTTCGCTAAAAATTCGATCTAAAAATGGTTTTTATTTTAACAAACAAACGACACAAGGATGATGTGCAGTTAATTTAATACAAATTATATCTCTAATCTAAGCCCAATTACTTTCTCATTTGACGAACCTTTTTTTAAGAACTTAAATAAATAAAAGTTAAACTTTTACCGTAGAAACTTTTATCTAGAACTTTAATAAAATAATAAATTATTGTACATAGTTGTGTATGTGTTTTATTTATTTCATTATCATTCAGATTTAATTTGTTATTTTATTTATCTTGTATATTACTTTATCTTTTTATTTATCTCTCTCTCTCTCTCTCTCTCTCTCTCTATATATATATATATATATATATATATATATATATATATATATATATATATATATAAATTTTTATTTTTTTTAATTTTTACTTTAGTCATTTATATTTATTTTTCTTTAATATGTACATATTAAGTGAATAAATACTATAACCCTAGCACCAATGTCCTTCAGTGTGGCAGACTGTATTACTACTCCATAAAATCATTATAATAAGAAAAAAAAAATTCCTTAGAATTTTACTTTAAGAACTTTTTGTTAAAAATTTTCACTGGAATTGCTTTTTTTTACTTATTTATTTATGAAATTTACAACTGTATACAGTACAAGGGTATACATAAATAGTAATACAGTGATATGAGAACACTTGTAGAGAAACCACCCAACCCATTAGTAGCACTCTAATAATACAGTTATATTACGTGATACGGTTTAACCTAAATAATAATGATTAAATTTAGATTTAAAAAAAACTTTGATCACAAAATATAAATAACCATTTACACACAAATTAAATAAAATATTAATATGTAGGTATGCCTTATTAATGTAAACAATTTTTAATATTTTATTTCTGAAATCACTTTAATTTTGCACGCGGTACCTGCACCATATAAATATGTATGTATATATATATATTTTTGTATGGCTAAATTTCTAATGAATTTCGAAAATAAAGATGTTCTGTTTTTAATAGTTGACAACGATATTCTCCACCTACTAATTCAGACTCAAAATTTATCGTAGAGATTACAAAAAATATATATTTATGTTTTAAAAAAGTATTACTTATTATTAATTTTAAAAATTTAATACCAGATGAAAAATTTCGATTTTTAGTTTTATCTTTATAATTATTACGATTTCAAACCCTGATAAATACAGTAAGCCAGTCAATAAATTTAATTTATCTAAATTGTACCATTTAAAAAAAATTAAACCCCTTCCACCTTTATTAATATGAATTCCAGCTTATCATATTAATTACCTCCAAAGGATTTATACTTAATCATCCATCGGCTTTTAAAACACGGTATGCAAGTAAATGAGATAGTACATTTGGTATGTGACAAGAGAGCCTCTTAGCATTAGTAAAATAACCCAAGACGACTATTAAATGCTTAAACATTTATTACGTTTCCCTTTCATCTGGAGCCGAACAACCTAAGATAAATTACTTAACGAGCCAAGTGTTGGGTGAAGTAGTTGATGAAGTACGTAGCTATTCATCCTAAAGGGAAAATGAAGGTAGTTCTTTATTTAAACTTTTTCTTCTTACTTCTGCCATTTCTTCTTATATTTTTTCGGAATCCTATTATATATATATATATATATATTCAAAATATTTTCAAGGAAATTAATGATAACTTATCTATACCCTTCAATTTTTTTTTTTTAACTTAGCGATTCTTAAATAAAACTGATGGCTTAATTACAATAAATGTTTACAAACAGTTTAGTTATTCCTGTTCTGACCTAAGATGTTTTTTTTAATTGTATTAAACACAGTATTAATTTTTTTTAAATTTGTAAAAAAAAGGTTTTTTCAAAAATTAAATATTTAAATATCATGGATTAAAATGATAATATTACCATTAGATTGTTTACTTGTTTTGTCTTTTTCAGTATGATTCTGGGCGAACTAATCATCCATTATGATAATGTCTGATACATTATTCAAAGATAACGT